AGAATTTTCATCAGAATTATTGCACTTTCACCTATAAGCACAAGTAAGGACAATGCCAACTCATACATATGGTTTATTTTATCTTATAGTTTCCTGATTTATTCAATTATCATAAAAATTAACGCACTCTCTAAATTGTGAAAACTGGTCAAACTCAAAAGCTTCTCTCAGAAGCTAAAACAGAGAAATTCCTAATATTAATTCCAATAATTCCAAATTATATTTATGTTTTTATATTAAAATGACAAAAAAAGACTTTGTATTGTGGCACAGAGTTCTTGTAAGTGTTTGGATTTATTACAGTTCATAATGGAGAAGGTTTGATGGCACATTTACTTAGTCATGAAAAAAGGTTGTCAATAAATATTTTTGTAATAGTTTTCGTTAACACTATGTGCATAGCATCAAAAAGTTTGAAAACCTCTGTCCTGCAGTGATACATTGGCTCTATTATTATAGTCTAATGTACTAATGTCTTATGTTTAGTCATATGCTCTAAACTGAATACTACTGTATCTTTCTTTCCAGTATAAACAAAATGCATTTATTGAAACTGAGCTGCAAAAATGACTCATTCTGAACTGCCATGGCTTTGTGAGGTCAGCAGCAAAAAAAAAAGCACCCATTTAAATCCAACTGCCAGGGAGAAGTTGGAAAATGGTAATGTTTTTGGCACAAAAACATCTGGCTTTTTTGGAACACAACAATGCATCCTTTGTGAACAAATCCTTACTCATTCTGCGCTGTCAGCTCTTGATAAGAGTGGTCTGGTGAGGCACGATGACTGTCGTAGCAGCCGGCCTGTACTGAATGCAAAATTAATAAAAAATATTACAATCTTGAAATGCTCCAGTGGCAGGAAAATTGCTTACCACAGAAGTTACACATGGGTCAGGGCACAATTAAACGCTAAATTTTTATTGCATTATTTTTGTAATAATTAATTTGACTAATGATATCAATGGAAAGACTTCTAAAACTAGCATAGTTTTGCTAGTATCATACCCAATGTTACATCATGAAACATGCCTGAGGAACTTAAGCAGCTGTTTTGTTAGGCAGATTCATACATTTGGTCAGAGATACTTACTATCCTGAGCCTACAGCAACTAGCGAAGAGAGCAGAGAACCCGCTGAGACAGAGCATAAACAGAAAGAGAAAGAGAGAGAGAGAGAGAGAGAGAGAGAGAGAGATCATAGGAAGAGAAAGAGAAAAATGAGGGACTAAGAGGGGTGCCAATTAGCGGACTCCTCCCCAAATCCGGACCGCGAGATGCGTCCATCCGGAACACAAATAATTTTTACATAATGAAATAAATAAATACCAAACGCTATTTCCTAATAAAATCGAATTTATATTAGGCACATTAAGGTCAGCTCAGTAGAGCTGTTTGGGTCCTACGGTGCCATGGATTGCTAATACAGTTAATTGTTGCTCGTTCAGACGTACAGTCGTGCAGTGAAGACAGCAGAGAGCGGCGCGCAGATAGATTAAACTTTCAGTGAGTGAAATACAATGGCATTCTCAAAAACGAGGAAAGTTGAAGTGTCCTTAAAAAGTCTTACATTTAGTTGTATCAAATTTAAGGCCATAAAATGTCTTAAATGGTACAAGAAAGTCTTATGATTTCAGGAGGTCTTAAATTTGGGGACGGAAAGACAAGAATTGCGATACGGCTTAATGTGACGATTAAACTTCAAAAGGCTATGATTTCATTGAATAAATATGTGTGCTGCACGTTTCAAAGTCAGGTGCTGGTTTGTGTGCTGCCGTTACCAGGGAAACCACATTATTTCTGCCGTTCCGAAAGCGCCTCCTGCTGGCAGAGAATGAATGTGCATTTTCAATCAGCCGGTCCGCTGATTTTGTTCAGACCAATGTGAAAATCAATCCATGTTTTTACGCTACAAACACGCAGAGTTGTAAATGTGAACTGGTGGATCGGCAAGAAGATAATGCATTATAAAAATCTAAACAATTAAGGAGACAGTAATATATATTGATATGTTATTTAATTAATATAATTGATTGATAATAATTGTTTAAATTAATATAATAATTGATACTTATAACTCCATTTTCTTGGTTTAAATGCTTAAATGTGAAGTTTATCATTTTATAAAACTTTTTGTTTTTGTGAAAGTTTTGTGTCTGAACCGTAAATCATGCTTTTTACAGTCATTTTATTTTTATTTGTGCAAGTATTAAAAATGTCCTAAAGTCTTTGATTTGAGCTTAAATATTCTACAGAAACCCTGCTCTGGCAAAAACCATCAATTCATGTTTTTAGGTATATAATTGCCCAGACCTCGGCTGGCGAGGAGGGTTCATTACTGGACCTCAAGCAATTTTAGTTGAAGACCCCTGGACTAAGAGAATGTAGAGAGAACCGAGCGAGAGATCAAAGCAGAAAACACAGAGCTGTTTTCATCATGTTTAGTCAGGGCAGTAAAAGCAGCAGGTGACCAGTAGGGACCCAGTATGAAGGCAGCTCATTAGTCACTCTAGAATCTACCAAGAAAATATCCTCCACACCATTACACCACCAGCAGCCTGAACCACTGATACAAGGCAGGATGGATGCATGCTTTAATACTGTTCATGCCAATTTCTAACCCAACTATCCAAATGTCACAGCAGAAATTGACAATCTTCTATTGTCCAATTTTGGCGAGCCAGTGCTAATTGTAGCCTCAGTTTCCTGTTCTTAGCTGACAGGAGTGGCACCAGGTGTGTGTCTTCTGCTGCTGCAGTCCATCTGCTTCAAGGTTTGATGTGTTGTACATTCAGAGATGCTCTGCTGCATACCTTGGTTGTAACAAGTGCTTATTTGAGTTATGGTTGCCTTTCTATCAGCTCGAACCAGTCTGGCCATTCTCCTCTGACCTCCAGCATCAACAAGGCATCAACAAGGCATTTTCACCCAATTTGCTACTCAATGGATATTTTCTATTTTTCTGACCATTCTCTGAAAATCCTAGAGATGGTTGTGCGTTAAAATCCCAGTAGATCAGCAGCTTCTGAAATACTCAAACCGGAACGTCTGGCACCAACAACCATGCCACATTCAAAGTCACTTAAATCATATTTCTTCCCCATTCTGATGCCCGATTTGAACTTCAGCAGATTGTCTTGACCATATCTACATGCCTAAATGCATTGGGTTGTTGCCATGTGATTGGCTGATTAGATATTTGCATTAACAATGAGTTGAAGAGATGTACCTAATAAAATGACCGGTGATATACAGTATACAGTACTGTATATGCAGAGTTTAAAAAGATTAGAACAAAAATGAACAAAAAACAAAAATAAAAAAGAGGGATTTCCTTGCAAGCACTAATTACTTATTGTAATGCACTGGGAAACACTGTGAAAATGGTCGTGGTGATGTGTATTATATTAGGACGCCAACAGCTGCATTGTAAACACAAGCCTATGAAGTTGTGAATGGCCTTCAGGCAAATAACATTAAAAAAACAAAGCAGTTTTAATTCATTGATGTAATCTTAATTAACAAAGAATGTCCAAAGGCTACTCTGTTAATTGCATTACTTTCCCAACATTATGAAAAAGAACAATAAAATAAAAGAGATCATTTTCTCCATTTGGTCTCTAGCATTCTAGTTCTGCATCTTTACTTATGTTTGGGGGGCAGATCCACATGCAAGTGAGAGATTTAGTTCATAAGCAATGTTTCTGAAGAGAGGACCAAAAAGTCAAAGCTGTCCTTTACTTAACACTTCAGGGCACTTATATCGTCTACACTTGAAAACAGCCTGCCAACAACAATTTGGTGCTCTTTGTTTCCTTAACAAAAATAAATGTCATTCTGTGTGGGAATATCCTTTGAGTAAATGTCTCCAAACTCTCTCTGACTCAATAAGCCCAATGTGTGATTTGTCAACATGACAAATTGAGCTCATCTAGGTAACAAAAAAATTAAAAAAGCATTTAAAATTATTGCAGAACAAAAGCCTTAAAGGTGAATAGGCAGTTAGGATCTTATACTTCATAAGGCAAACTGTCATGACAACATATCTTATGTTGTTGTTTATTGCTTAGGGCAATGGACATAACTGTTCATGGCCTATTTGAAATGAATATGAACCGCATGTACAGGACCCTAAAAGCAACATCTAGGCCTAAAAATTATATAGACATAAAAAACACTAAAAAATAAATACAACTAACTAAAATGAAAATGAAAGCAGATAAAATAAAATAAATAATTCAAAATATAAATACAAACTATAATATTATATTAATGATATTAAAATAACACTGGTTTCCATACCAGTTTCTGGAAATTAAAATGCCATTCAATATCTCCATAGAGATATTGATTTTTAGTGATAATATATAAAATGTTCGATACAGACCAACCATGCGCTCCAAGGATCTTTGCTAATAATATGCGCTTCTGTAAAAATCCTATGTTAATGTGATTTCAACTTCCTTTTTTTCACATTTAATTGCAAAATATCCCATAATCCTCAAGAGAGTTTCACCAAAGTTGCTGTTCCCATTGCAATGAAACCATTAGAAACAGCACACCAGTGACCATCCACACCGATGTAGCACAATCCTATTTTCATGGAAATAACAAGATTTAATAACAAGTCAGATTATATATATATATATATATATATATATACAGTGGGTACGGAACGTATTCAGACCCCCTTAAATTTTTCACTCTTTGTTATATTGCAGCCATTTGCTAAAATCATTTAAGTTAATTTTGGGTCTGAATACTTTCCGTACCCACTGTATATATATATATCAAATACTTTATTAAGACCTTTTACAAAATAAGACCTTTTAAATAAATAATTTTTTTTATCAAATCCTTTGTCTAGTGATATTTAATGAATGACAGCCCAGTCAATGTTTAATAGAATATGGAGTCTACATGTGTTGTTGTAAAGAACTATGAGTTAACAGGCTCTTCTGAGAAAATACACAATGATTTATCCAACACAGTTCAGTGACTTACCTCCTCCAGCACATCAGCTAGCTTGCTAAGTATTTCTTCTGGAAGGCCTTGGAATGTCGGAACGCTGTGAAAAAGATGAAAAGAAAGTTTGAGGTTTTGTGAGCCAACAAATCAAGCCGTTTCCGTCAGGTCACAAAGAATCATATCTGACCAGCAGAAAAACAATCTGAGTGTTAGTTTCAAAAGAATGGGCTGCAAAGGAAAAGTCTGTGAGTCTTATGAAATTAATTTAGTAATATCAGAAATTAACGGAAATCTACGAAAGCTGGTGAATGAACAGTGTAAATGCAAGAAACTGACAAGCACACTTTTGCAGTCTCAGAAATAATGTCTCAGGTTGAGGTGTGGGTGGACTTCTCATGGGTTTTCATAAAAAAAGGGGCTGCCAATCATTTTAAATAGCTAAGAAAACTAGTCAACCAGAAAGAACTTTACTGGAAAATCTCTCAGTTGACTCTCAGTAGAATCAAAAAATCTCCAAATTAAAAATATATGGTTTTCCAGATTTAAATTAGCTAGGGGACATTAAAGTCAACATAAAATCTAATCTGATTCTATTTACTTTTAACACACAATATTTTTGTCTATCTAGGCTAATTTTGAACTAACTTGCTCTGCCTCTGTTAGAACATAATAAAGGGTAAATATGTGTAAAAATGAATTTGCATTTTAATGTACCATAAATATAGCTCTTACAGTAGTTGGAGCAAACAAAATGCACTTCTATAGTTCATATTCATGAGTGAATATGGACTTCTGAATATCTTAAACTCCTCAAAGGATACATCTATTTCTGCAGTCACATTGTCCATGAGGGGCATCAGCATATTGATTCTGAATGCAACACTTCTTCTCTCACTGCTCCATGCAGCTCATAGGCATCTTACGTTTCCTTCAAAAGCCAAGTTCTTTCCATCCCTTGACATCATCAGCCTACGGTTTCCAGTAAAGCTGGTTTGGGGCCTCTGGGGAAATGTCATTTTCTTTGAGAATCTTATTGCAAAATGCCACTGTTTTGTGTCACCAGACGCTTTGGAGTCCATGATTGAATGATTGTTTTAAAAAAATCAAACAAACCCTGACCTCTTCATTCAAGGATTCAATAATTCATTACGCATGAAACCATAACGTTGTTTTCTTTCCATTTTTTAGACCACAGTTTACTGTATTAGGTGTTTGCTAATACTATTACTATTGCTCATACTTCAGGTTAGAGATTTCTCACCACTCATCCTTCACCATTTGTACATAAAAAAATAAAATAAAATAAAAAAACACTAGCTTTCTATTTTTTCTATTCTATATACTTGTTTTCTTTGTGTGCGTGTGTGTGTGTGTGTGTGTATAATATATATATATATATGACTAAATGACTAAATGACTAAATGTAAATGTAAATGTAAATGCATCAAATCATGTGGTTTATTGCATTTCTAAGTTTGCCTTACATTTCAATGCAGTCAGACTTACGTTTTTTGCCTGCCAGATAATAAAACTGGCAATAACTACAATAATGCCCATAGAAATACACCGAAGGAAGAATATTTTGCATTTTGACCCTGGCAACCATAATGCCCACAAGAAACACAATGCCCAATAACAATGGTTCTCATCTAGGGGTCCTCAGCATATATACTTTCAAGGTGGCTTCAAGAAGACTTAAAATGATTTAAAATCAAATTAAAATAACTCAAATTAAGATATTTCAATAACACTTTAGTTTAGGGAGCAATTCTCAAACTAGTTGCTTATTAGCATGCATATTACTAGCATATTGGCTGTTCATTTTTACTTATAAAGCATATATTAATGCCTTATTCTGCACGACCATATTTTGGATCCCTTAATCTGAAAACTTAACAACTACCTTACTAACTATTAATTAATTAAATTAATTTTATTGAGGCAAAAGTCATAGTCAACAGTAAAGTTAACAGTGAGAATGGGCCACCAAACTAATTGGTCCCCAAAAGTGTGAACAATATTTATTATTTTAATTCACCATCTCAACAAGTATTTGTAATTTTTTAAATTGAAGAACCAGGAAAAAAAAACTGTATATATGAAGAAGCCTAATTTCAAAAGTGTGATTTCCAGACCTGAAATGTCACGTAAATTCACAAAATCTTATAATGGGCATTTCTAATATTTTTTTTTATAGTAATGCCAAACTCTAAAATATTTGATCAAGTAGAAAAATATATATATATATATATTTATATTTAATATTTATCCAATAAATCACAAACAACTGGAAAGGTCATAGGGTCTTTGAATATTGTGATGGACAATGGGGGCCATGGACTCAAAAAAGTTGAGAACCACTGCACTAGCACTCTCACATTTTCACTCAGAAACACTAAAAATGTACTTTCTACATACAATGCATACTAAAATATGAATGCAAAATCCATTATTGCATAATGCAGTAGACATTGGGGAGAGAACATGAGTGTGAATGCATTTTTATGGTGGACTGTAGATTAATCGATCTTAAATAATACAAATAAGAATGTTCTGATAAAGCAAAGCTATTTATAAACAGCTCATGGCTAAAAATCTATATTTTTAGTGGAAGGAGATGAATTAGACTCAAATGAACAGAGAGAATCTACAGAAAGCAACAGCACTCTAATCATTATGTGTCCTCTGTCTGTGTCTAACCAACACACATTTTACTTTCCTTAGAAAAACCGCCGAAATATAACGAGAGTTGATTAGAAACATTTGAGAGTAATATGCCATTTCACCTTCCAAAATATTACAATCAAAACTCATCACCCGGGAGATTAACGATACACAGCAAAGGACAGCGAGTGTAAAGCCTGAGTTATCTGGGATTGTGTAACCATTCACTTCTGTGTTATTCATTCATGAAGAAAATCAATTTATTTTATTATATACTGGTGAAGGGCAGACCTCTTCCATCAGGGGTTAGGAAGAATAAACAGAAAGGAAAGGAGAAGCAGCCCACCTCTTGAGAAAGTCCATGTGCTCTGCATGCTTGATGAGTCCGGTCCTCATCATGATGGTCTGGAAACACTGGCGGTCGATGGCCCATAACTTCACATTTGTGAGGGCTAGGGAAAATATGACAAAATATGAAAATAAATAAGTGAATAACCCACACACACATTTATCTAGCCAAAATGATATTTTTATCTTTGTCAGCGTATCTACAATAACATAATATATTATGTATTAAATATGTGCTAACAATATCATTCATATAAAGTCGTCATATAATGCCTTCTAATCATTAGAAGAGATGGTGTTTTGCTCACATAAATCATATTTCATACACTCTAAAAAATGCTGGGTTAGATATAACCCAGCGCTGGGTTAAAAAGGGACAAACCCAGCTATTGGGTTGTTTTGACCCAGCATTTTTTAGAGTGTAGGTACTTTCATGCTCCTGTTCCCTTCTCAACTTTCCCTTTTTGTCCTGTCTCTCCTCCTTCCATTAAAAGGGAAAAACCCCAATGTAACCAAAAGGAAAAGAAAGAAAAAGCAACATTTTTATAATAGTATCTTGTAAGAGATTACACCAAGACAATAAAGAGATATTCCATTTATATTTAACCCAGCATTTTTTAGAGTGTACTGTTTTTACTTCACTGACAATTAATTTCTCAATACAAACATTGCTAATCACTTTACTTTTCTTAAATGTCCAATCTGAATTAAATTAATTATTAATTAAATGTTTAAATTAATCAACTGAATTTCTTTTGATGCCAAAGTAAAAGCATTCAAATAAAAATGTATGTTTAATTAATCTTACATTAACATGCTAACTTTGGCAGCTCCACTTATTCCACAATTAAAAGTGACCAAAAGTTAATCAATTTAATTTAATAAATTAATAAAAAACCCTCTTAATACACATGATATACTATATAGGGCTATTATAGTTAATTAATACCAAAACTGAACAACAAATCAACATTTCTCATTTTAATTTAGTTTAACTTGATGTAATGAAATAACTAAAACTGTAATAAAATTAGATTTATATATATATATATATATATATATATATATATAAAACATATATTTAAAAAATAAATAAAAAAAAAAAAATTAAAACAGAAAATATTAATATTAATAAAAGACTACAATAGTTTTTAATTTAGATTAACCTTATTCTTAAATTGTCCTAATTATTTATAAAAGTTGGGTGAATAAAACAATTGAGATCCTGTGCATAAATAGAAAGTAATTCACTTCAGTTTGAATACATAAGAAACCTCAGTCCATTCGCAGAACCTCACATTCCCCATGATGTCTACCTCAACAAAACCCAAACCCTCTAGCATCTTTTAGAGTCATTGTCACTCACTTAGTTTCAACCTACTTGATTTTGCAGTCTGGGAATGCTGTCAGAGCTGGAGAGAAAAGGCGCGTTTGTCTGTGGTGACAGAGGCATAAAACGGTTGTCACTCCACGACATTACCAATATATTACTTGCCCTCTAAGACGTTCCTTGAGGAGAGGGCAATTGCAATTTTTTTTTTTTTATGAAAAGGCCAATTTAGGGTCTCAAAATCTGACAGGTCTATTTAACATATTAGCATAAACTTCCTTCAAAACAGATATATTTTTTACAGCTCACTCATGGGACCACATTATAAGCTCTACAGACTCCAGTGTTCACATTTTTGAACGACAAATTATGCAAATGAGGATTAGAAAATATTAAGATGGCATATTGTTATGCTATTCCAATCACAGCCAAAAGCTATATTCTTACCCTATCACTGTAAAGATCTGCAAGGCATCTGAAGAACAATATACTAAAATCACTTTATTGCTTGAAGGACCGAAATGATGGCACATCTACGGATGCAAACCCATGCAATCATATGAAATAGCAGTAAAAGTGTTTCCCTCACAATAAGTCCTCATTTAACAGGAACGCGTTTATGGGCACACATCACTTGCACCCTCATGCAACGAGCGCAAATGACGCTTAGACAAGAAACGCTTCACAAAGACCATTTTCAAAACAAAATTCACACTCTTTGGTCATTTTGCAGAGCAACCATTATGTCCAAGTTAATACACCTTATCTCATGTAGAAATGGTTATCTACACTCTAAAAAATGCTGGGTTAAATACAACCCAGTGCTGGGTAAAATAAGGACAAACCCAGCAATTGGGTTGTTTTGACCCAGTGGTTGGGTTACTACCCAGAAGGTTTGGTTAAACATTTAACCCAACTGCTGGGCCAAAACAGCCCAATTGCTGGGTTTGTCCCTATTTTACCCAGCACTGGGTTGTATTTAACCCAGCATTTTTTAGAGTGTAGCTTCTTAATGAGTGTTGTGTTTTAATGGGTTTAAACCCATTAAGTCTTGACCAATTATGATGGATTTATTATATAGGACAGTAATTCTGCAAGCCCGAAAAAGTCTGGGTTTTGTAGCAACCTTAAAACGTTAAAAAACCTTGTTAAAATGCACATAATTCTTTACAGATATTAAATAACCATTAGCACTGGGTGATTGATCAAATATTCATGATAAACTAGATATAGATATAGATATAGAGATTTTGTTCATGATATAAAAGTCAAGAATATTGAGATGATTTTGTATGTTGCAATAAAAAAGATAATCATTTCAATTAATCAGTTTCAGCAAACTCTCCATGAATTTGTAAATCAAAATACAGACTCACTGATTCAATTGTACATTTTACCTGCTTTAAATAATCAACATAATCTGTTTAGTACAATGTTATGTTGTGCATATAAATGAAAATGTGTTAATATAGTTAAAACAGTGTATTTTTAATAAAGATTATAAATAATTATAATTTTTTTATATTATATAATAAAGAATTAAATATAAATAAATATTTAATTAAACAAATGTATATATATATATATATCCGGATCCCTATAACCCCCCCAAAAAAAATCCTTGTGGGAAATATCAGCCCCTAAGGCCCTCCGTGGGCCTGACGTGGGACCAGCGGCCCTCTCTGGGGCGGACGTGGGGACTAGAGCCCTCTCTGGGCCTAACTCAGGAACAGGAGCTCTCTCTGGGCTTAACTCAGGAACAGGAGCCCTCTCTGGGCTTGACTCCGGGGCTGGAGCCGACACTGGAGCGGACTCAGGGGCTGGAGCCGACACTGGAGTTGACTCAGAGGCTGGAGCCGACACTGGAGCGGACTCAGGGGTTGGAACCAACACTGGAGCGGACCCAGGGGCTGGAGCCGACACTGGAGCGGACACAGGTGCTGGAGCCGACAGCCTTTTCCTCCTTATATTCCTCCTCTGGTTAGAGGGGAGGAATACAGCTGCTGTCAGCTGAGGGCTTGGGAGTGAATCGGCCGGCAGGCTTGACTGTGGAACGGATGTGAACATGGAGCGGCCGGCGGGCTTGACTGCGTGCTGGTTCTGGCCTGCCAGACACTCTCCAGACATTGGAGGATTCCTTCCCTCCAGCTCAGTCCCGTGGTGTCTGGGAGGTCAACGGGGCGTTAGTAATTTTCCCCGATCCAGGACAGAGAGCTAAGCGTGGCGTCGTCCAGCGCCGTCCTCGCCGCGAGCCCGCAGAATTCCCAGGCGTACTCAACAAACGGTAGATCCCTAGCCGGGCGGCGAATCGTGCGGCGGTTTCCATGACCGCAGGGGAGAAATGGAAAACAAAACACTCTCGAAAAAAAGGAAACAAAAACACGGAGAGAAGGGGCGCCTCTTACTGTTTAGGTCCGGTATTCTGTCACGGTAGGCTGCTACTGTGTCAGAGCGAGGAGACGTAGGAGCATTTACAACGAGGAAAGTCTTTATTTAAACAAGGAACACACACGTAGCAGGGGATAGACGAACAATACCGGACGCTGGGCATGGAAAGACACAGGGTTTAAGTAATCAGAACTAAACGAGGAGATTAATTGGACACAGCTGAAACAAATGGAACTCAAACAGGAACAGGAAAACCAAATATGGGCACAAACACGGGAGAAACTGGATCAAGGAGAGAACATGGGGAACAAAACACAAGACATAGGAACAAAGGACTGACAATAACATTTATTATGTTACATTTGTCCATATAAATGAGAATGTGTTTATTTGGTTAAAACAGTGCATTTTTATAAAGATTATAATATAAAAATATTAAATATAAAGAAACAATTTAATAAAATAATCAAATGTAAATGCACTGTATACCAGTAAAATATTTTTATAAAGTAGAAATTTATCATACACATACCTACATATTTTTTTGTTTGTTTGTTCATTCATTCATTCATTTATTTACTGAAATGTATCATTGCTTTAATGTTGAAGCTACTTGGCAAAATGGTTTTATATTATGATTATAATTCCTCTAATTAAAAAAAAAAACATATTTCAGAGCAAATAAATAAATCCTAAGACATATATCACACATCATCAAAAAGCTGAAAAACTTTGAGACTGAGATATTTTTAGCAATACTGTGCAGTCCGAATTACTATTACCACCATTTGAGACATGAAAATTACAAAGTTTGAGAACATGCTGTTCTCCAGATGAATTAAGACTGCTACATCACAAAATATAACTGACAGCAGTGCAAGCAAATATAATTGGCAACCATACTTGAGACAAGTGGTCCCAATTAAGATGTGCTTTTAAGGCAAAACAACAATGGCAGTGAATCAAAATTAGAATAAAAAAAATAATACTTCACCGAACAATTGTAGACAGGCCCATTTGGCTCATTTTGATACAGAATAAACAGAACATTGACGCTTGGCTGCTCTTGGACCGGAACGTCTTGTTTAATCTGAATGTGCCGCACAGCTTTGGGCTTCAATTATCCATGAATCCAAATCAAAACCATTTCCCAACACCTTATTAAATACTGACGGAGTACTTCATCTATCTCTGCTTTTCAATGGGGAACAAAATACAAGATCAAATTAAACGTCTTTATGGCTGTTTGTCTCTTTGAGTGGTTTGATCACGAGCCACGCTGTTGTTCCTGTCATTCGGATCCTGCAAACCCTCCATTGACGGGGGAAAATGTATTCCAGTGGAACCTTTACACTCTGATTATATAACACAAGCTTCTTTTTGATC